AATACAATAAAGTACAAACTATAGTGCATTTGAAGCGTACTATAGTAAAGCACTTCAGTGAATTTGTTGTGGTGATTCTACAGTTGCAACAACTACAATAATGTCAACAGATGACTCAATGCTGTAGTTTTCCACATCTAAACTAATGAAGCTACAATACACTACAGTTCACTGTAGTAAAAACTAAGGTAAGCTACAGCATTTATTACAGTTTATCAGTTACTTATTATTAATGCTACAGCATACTGGGGGAGTTGTGAAATATTGTATGGTTCAAAAACACTGAAGTATTTACACTAAATGACTATAGTTTTTACTTACAGGACAAAGCGTCTCTTGGCTTTGGCTCTCAGTGAGCTGGACTGTTTTATGAATGATTGTGTCTTAATTTATTCGTACCATGATGTTTAATGTCAAGACTCATGCTGTGAATTTAGTTGTGTTCGTTTTTTTCTAGATTATTCCTTGCAAAATATAATGGTACTACCATAAAATTATATATACAGAGTACCTTAAAATAATTTCATGTAAACTTGGGGACTACTATAAAAATGCCATAGTTATAGCATAGTATTATATGACGTTTAAGTACTAATGTGTATGAATAAAATACTAAATATATAATATAATATAATATAATATAATATAATATAATATAATATAATATAATATAATATAATATAATATGTACAATGCCACACATAAAAAACCTTAATAAATAAACAAACAGAATGAATAAATAAATAAATAAAACTAAAGAATGAATGAATGAATGAATTAATTAATTAATTAATTAATTAATTATTTAATAAATGAATAAATAAATGAATAAATGAATGAATGAATGAATAAAATGAATGATTAAATAAATAAATAGATAAAATGAATGTATAAAAAATAAGGGAAATGAATAATTGTATACATGAAATGAATAAATAAATACAATAAATGAATAAATAAATAAAATAAATGAATGAATAAATAAATAAGTGAATAACGAAATGAATGAATAAAAAAATTAATAAATGCTTGAATGAACCAATAAATACATAAATGAATGAGTAAATGAATAAATAAATAAATGTATGAATGCATGAATAAATAAATAAATAAATGAATTAATGAATGAATAAACAAAATAGATAAATAAATAAATAAGTAAATAAATAAATGAATGAATGAATGAATGAATGAATGAATAAATAAACAAAATGAATAAATAAAATGAATGAATAAATAAATAAATAAAATGAATGAATGAATGAATGAACAAAATGAATAAATAGAAAAATAAATTAATAAATACATAAATGAATAAATAAATAAATAAATAAATAAACAACCAAAATGAATGAATGAATAAATAAATAAACAAAATGAATAAATACATTAAATGAATGAATGAATGAATGAACGAATGAATGAATGAATGAATGAATGAATGAATGAATGAATGAATGAATGAATGGAAAAATAAATAAATGCATGGATGAATAAATAAAAAATGAATGAATTCATTCATTCGGTCATTCATTCATTCATTCATTCATTCATTCATTCGTTCGTTCATTCATTCATTCATTCATTCATTCATTGTTCATTTGTTTATTTATTCATTGGTTCATTGGTTCATTCATTCATTTCTTGAAAAATGCAGGTGTAGAATTGATTTACTTGTGTTTAAGTTTAAATTAGTTTTTGAAGCGCACTGTGATCTCAGAGTTTTAGATCTGACTGAACATTCCCAATGACCAATACATAAAAGCAGAGGAAAACAGACAGAGACGAATGATTTGAGAAAAGAACACTAGATAAGAGTCAAAGATCTCCAGCACAGATGAATCAGTCTAAAAGAGAGTACATCATCATCATCATCATCATCATCATCATCATCTCTGCAGAAGAGCTCCAAACACAACAAACAGTGTGTGTGAAGGAGTGTGTATGGGTGTTTCCCAGTACTGGCTTGCAGCTGGAAGAGCATACGCTGTGCAAAACATATGCTGAATAAGTTGGCGGTTCATTCCACTGTGGTGACCCCTGATGAATAAAGGGACTAAGTCGAAGGAAAATGAATGAATATGGCACAGCAAACTCTTCCGGTGATGAATTTTACACAGCGCGTTGGTCTGGTAAACACATGCATGTTACATAAAAGCTGGAGGTGATTTATCAGCGTCCTGTGTGGAGATAAACACTCGCGCTTGTTTGTGGCGTTGGAGGAATGGTGTTGGCCTCCAGATCAGAGCAATCACAGCTCATTAATGAGTGTTTCAAAGCTTCAGCCGGCTGTCAGAGCGTCTCTTTAGTGGACTGGATGGATTGTGGAGGAGCTTACGTCTTTTTCAGTGACTTCACGCTTGGTTTGGCATCAGGCTCGAGGCCAGAGAGCTGCTTGTAATTTTGCTCTGCCGATTCAGTCACTTGACAGCTGAATTACGACAACAAGACTGAAAATAATAGTTCATTGAGTTTGCAACGTTTTTTTAAGGTAAGTGGT